CTAATTATTTGCAGTCTTCTTTAGAGTCTTGCATAAAGCACACGGGGATTATGGCAATTATGAATTCAAGCTCCTCCCCTGAGAATCAGGGTAAAATGCAGTAGATTCTATGTGATACTTTAAATACAAGCCTTCAAGTTACGGCATAGACCTAAAAATCCAGGGCTCACCCTTCAGATGTTTGCTATCATTTTAATTTTAAAGATTTTTTTTTAAACTAAAATTGTCAGGCATAAATTGTCTTTAATGTCTTCATTACATAAATGAGAAGGAAAAAAAAATTATCTGTTTTGTTTTGTGAAATTATAACACTACCATGCAGAGAGCTAAAATAGCTACATACAGCTCTCTGCATTATAGTGTTATGGTTGCTCTAGCTAATGTTATATTTACTCTGCACTGACCAGTAATTATATGAGGCTTGCTCCAAAAGTAATGCCTCCTATTTTATTATGCTTGTCCATGACATCAGAGGCAAATGTTGGTGGTATGACAATAGAGGTTGGACTTTCCCACCACTATTTCATTACATAGTATTGTCATGTGAGAGATGAAAGCAGAGGTCAGTCTGACAGTATGAAGTCTAATGTGGAAGTACAAATGAAGCAAAGGTTTGGAACTGAATTCCTCCACGTGGAAGAAATGGCACCCATTGACATTTATCAACACTTACTGAATGGTTATGGAGATCAAACAGTGAGCACAGTGAGGTGGTGGGTGGTGTTTCAGCATTGGTGACAGTGAGAGTGGGTCACTTCCACTGGTGCAGATTCTTATGGGTGCAGTATGCAGGCTCTTGTTCATCACTGACATAAAAGCATAGCTAATGTTGGTGACTATGTTGAAAAATAGTATTTTGTAGCAGAGAATTTCCTCTATCAAATTCTGTTTTGTGCTTGTAATTTCTGTGACAATAAAAGAGGAGGCATTACTTTTGGAGTAACCTACGCTATAGTTATTTCTATTTTATTGAAATTTTTATTGCTCTACTTGCCCTATATCCCCCATTTTTCACTCTTTTTTACTACCCAAATTTACTCTTTTTTTCAAAGAGTAAAACTAATTGGGAAGAAAATAATCTTTAACAGTGGAAAGCACTGTTCATTGTCTTTTCCACTTACATTTATACTAGGTGCTTAAATGCCATTTTGAGTTCTATATGGACAGGTTCAGCTTTAGATAAGTTTATAGATTCTCTGTATGCACTGGGCAACCTCTAAGTCAAAAAAAAAAAAAAAAAAAAAGACTAGATAAAATATTCTAGTGGGATAATTTTCTATTTCAAGCATTCCACTCAACACTGAGAACTACTGGGCCTCTTAAATCCTCTTTGCAGGAAGGTTGCCAGTTAAAAAAAAACAATCCAATACACCAAAATAAAAGATAAATGATGGAGACATGCCAGCCTACATTTAGCGGGCTAAACTTCCTCACCAATAATAACTTTTCAACGTCTTGCAAAAAGATTATGTAGTTACTTTGCAAATGTACATTTTCTTTAATTAAAAGATGACTTGCTTATTTCAAGGAGAGCTTATTCTCCCCAATCTAAGCATCATATTTATGATACCTTATTCTTTTAATTACTTTTAAAAAAGGAAGCTTTAACTCAGAATTTTTTAGTTATTATTTTCACTGTCAGTTTATCTTTACTTTGCATATTTGGTAACAATATTCTTAATATTGATAATGGGTTAATCATGGTGGTTATAATTCAATCATAGATTATAAACTGGGACTTCATCTCAAAGAAGATCATAAAATTTAGCATATGTTCAGACTTTTTCATTCTTCATTCCTAGAATTACCTATATGTTTCATGACTGCAAACCATTCTGCCTCAACTATTTGCAGTAGTGTACATGACCCTTTCCAGTCTGTCAATTTTGCAGACGTATAGCATTACCAAAGGAAAACTCCTCCTCTTTAATACTATGCTTGACATAATATTTTCTTGTTCAAATCATTAAAACCAATCTCTTAAAATTAATTTGCAACATGATAAAATTCAATTGTAATCTAAATTTCTATGACAAAGAAACCTTGGTAAAAGAAAGACAATTTTAAACATAAAAGTATTTTTTCTATCTCAAACACATATTCTTCCAAATTGTGAGAATTTGAAAAGGATAGAGAGTTTTGTTGTGATCAAGGCTTCTCTTCCTTAGTATTAAGTTCCAAACTCATGTGATGGTTTAAAAGTTAGTTCTCTTGTAATAACAGTATTCCTTATAATGCTTTTATATGTCTTATAATGTTTTTATATGCTTTATAATGTTTTTATATGCCTGACACTAAAAGACATATTGTGCATGTTCACTTACATGCATCCACACTTGTTTCATCATTTGGTGCTAAACATAATATTATCAAATAACAATTCTGAAGCAAGAAGCATAAAGAATTATACAACAAGATATGAGGAATTAAGAGGCATTATGTTATCATAATTTTACATTTAGTTGTCCAAAATATTAGACTATGAATTTTACTTTTGGCCATTACAGGGCTGACCTGACATGTCGATTATGCTGTCTGAACAACTGCAAGTAAGTGAACAGTTAGTAAGTAGAAGGCTCTATAAAACCATTGTCTGCTGACAAACTGCTTGATCGTAGTTCCAACTATATTGTAGCTGATATTTCAGCTCTAAATCAAAGTCACTTCTGACAACTTCCAATTTGGCATATCAGCTTTATTTGGCTTTCTTTGTTGCTAGATTTAGAAAATTTTAGCAGATGTAGAATGTTTATAAGAGTAATGGCTTACGGACATAAGTAATTTCATAGTAGAAGTAAAAAGTGAAAATTTATGCAAAGAAAAGCATTCCATATGAAAGTTCATCCTTCCCAAAGAACTTGCATTAATAAACCAAAGATTAAAGAGCAAAACATCAAATACGTTATACGTATTTATATGAGAGAACTCTAGAAATCTAAAGAAAAATCTTCATTTTACTTAAGTGAAAACAGATTAAATATTTGAAAAAAGGAAACTAATTCAAACAAGAAATCATAATTTATTGTAAGAGAAATTATTCCTCTTAAAATCAAAGTTGTCAGAGGTATTCAGTATTAGAAAAAAGAATTAATTAATGCTGCATAACTAGGTCAAAAGAAAGAAATTTATGGGAGAAGTACTAACAACGTTCTCCAATAACAAAGTACTACTCAGCATCACGGTATATAACTGAATAATCTAACATAATGAACTGCTTGATTAGCTAGCATCCCAAGCTGAAAAGTCCTCTTGAAGTCCTGAATTTCTTCCTTGGAAAAGCACTGACATCTCACTATTTAAGATTTTGTCTGAAAATATATCAATCAATACTAAACTACTAATATTGTGCTGCCCGTGATTATTTCCAAAACAAGAAACTCCAGTAGTATGTTCCACAAGGAAAAAAACACCTACCTTGAGTCACTTGAATATATTTTATGTGCAACCCAAATACACAAAAATAGAATCCTGCCTGACCTCACACACTAAACTATGAGACCCATTCCCTGACGAATGTTTAAAACACAAAACCAACCTTAATCTTCTCATTTGACAGAGAGCACATTTTGTCCAAGATGCACAGGTTTCCACAGAAGGACAGAACTATCTGCCTTAGGAATATCACTAAAGTGCACATTAATTTAGTGACACATTCATTACTATATCCTCCTACTACTAATCTCTTCACATTCCACATGGTATAAAACTGTGGTCTTTCTTTACTGTAGCATGCAACTACATTATTGTTCTTTCTGCTGTTAATAACTCCTCTGGACCACTGGTACCAACAGTCATTCAGGGTAGTCTAAATTATTTTTACTGTAGCTAACCCTTGAGTAGTGTTCTTAGCTTAAGTTTAGCTTTGGAGTCACTGGATTATCCTTTGATCATGAAAAATTTATCATAGTAATGCTTATCACAGTAAAATTACTACTTTGAAAACTGACATCCTATCAGTTGATATCTTTACATACAAAAAAATTAAGTCTGCTACACGCAAAACAAAATCATTTTATTTATATTAGAAATGTACACAAAACAGATGCAGATTATAGTAATGGGTTTGCATCAAAAAATAACTTTGTAAATTTGGTTAGCTGTGAGATGAATATTTCTTTTAAACACTGGAAAGGGTAATGGCATCTGTTTGCAAGGAGATGGGTTTTAAACATATATTTTATCCTATTCTTTAAATTCTAAAGCTGTGTGGTTTGTTGTTTTTCTTTTTTCTTTTTTTATTGTTCAGCATGTTAAAAAAACAGCAACATAAAATTCCAACATTTGAATGAAATACATCTTGAATCTTACAGTGCAAAGAATTTTAAACAACAAGGCCACCAACAAAACAGACTGTTCCTTCAGATATTTTGACCTAGAGACTACAAAATTGAACTTTTGGAAGAACTACTTAATTTGAGATCCCTCCTGTCTCGTTAAGTACTGTGCTGGGAATGTTCTTCTTAATACATACAACTATCCCTACAGAAGCAGTTGTCTAAGATATAACTCTAAAAACATTGGTTTGTTAATGTTTTCTGTTTCTGATTTTAATAATCCTCTTTATTTTGTATCTACTCTATATTTTATCTCAGTAAAACATTCTTTTACTAAGAGAGACAATGGAATTCCAGCATAATAAGGAATAAATATAACTTTTCTTCCATAGGTATAAAAAGGAAAAAGTCACATAAATCTACAGCATAATGCCAGTATCTTAACAATTTCTCTTGGGCTCTTTTGGAAGTCAGTGAAGAAAACCAGGCATTTACAGTGCACAATTACCTCATTTCAATACACATGCCTCAAAAAGTCGCAGGAGCTATGTTCTGAAACTGCCAAATTCTTTCCATCTAAATGGAAATAATTTACAAATGCAGTGCATATCAAAAAGCAGTGAAAAACAATGTATCATAAGAAAATCTATCACATCATTAGAAAGACCTTAAAAATTAAATATAACACAAACAAAGGAAGTCCATAGAAGAATAAAATATACTAACTTCATTATGTTTTCTTTGCTCTTGCATTGCTTCCCAAACAGCTTGGGCAATCTTCTTGTTATGTCTCTCATGTTCTGCTTTCCACATATTTCTTTCTTCTTCATGAATCTTCTCCATATTTCTCCTTTCCTCCTCTACAGCTTTCAGAATAACCTCCTGTACTATTTCTTTTTCAACCTTCAAAACAAATCAAGAAGTAAATGAAGAAAATATCCAGTGTGGGTGCTGTAAGAACACATTTTACTTTTCCTAATGAGATCAGTGAGATGACAGGATACGAGAAAAATATTTTTACTTCTGAATTATGAACTTCAATCCATCTTAAAGTGCTACTTATCTTGTACTACCACAGGACAATGACTTAACAGTTATGGAATTAAAAAGCTGCAAGCAAAGATTTTAAATGTCCACCTATTTGGGTATACCATATCATAACTAGCTTGCATTCTGTGATCACAAAAAAAATAACATGGAGAAGAAACCACGTAAGTTGGTGATATTTATTCACACACCACATCATCCCTGACCATGGCATAGGGGTTGGAACTAGATGATCTTTGAGTCCCTTCCAACCCAAAGCATTCTATGATTCTATGATCGTGGGACTTCCTATGGGAGGCTCTAATCTTCAAGAATTTAATGAAGTCCAAGAACAGTACAAACACTACCTTTGGCAAAGTAGCCAATGCATACTTAAAACAAATGTGTCTTCCACTCCCAAACACTTTAGCTGCGCATACTAAAAGAAGTATAATTCCATCTTTTTTTAATGCTTGTATTCAACCATTACATTAAATCATCAGCAGAAACACACTGAATTTGAAGTAAAAGGGACAATGCACAGCTCTATACAAGCTGAACCATTCACAAATATATTTATCAGCAAGACAATCTATCATTACACAACACCTACAAATAATGTCATGCTGAAGTTCAAAACAAACACTGGCTGGCAGCTCACTCCTTCTCCTTATTTTAATAAGCTTATCAGTGCAGTGATAAGCTTATCAGCTTATCAGTGCAGTATCCTTGATGATAGTACTGCAACAAGTAAAAAAAAAAATTATAAAAAGCTATAAATATTGGGTTCCTCAAATTCATTTATTTAAAAATAAAGCTGTTTCTTGCAATTCATTGGAACTTGATTTTTTTTTTTTTTTTTTTTTTTCATTTATTAAGTATATTAAAAATGTAACCAAAATCAGAAAGGTGCAATTCAGATATTTTATTATACTCACATTTTCTCCCAGATTTGTTTTGTGTTACTGAATGTTACTGAGAGAGGTGCAATATGAACATATAAACGATGTACTACTGTAGACACTGTGCTAGCTAACTTGCATTAGTAGTCTTCTCAAATCATTACAAGCAACTGACATTTGTACTGTACCAGAGTTAGAAATTACATATAGTTTGTTGAAATGTTTGTATTTTCACATGATTTCACTGTCCTGTCCTCAATGAAAATCACCATTTTTTAACAAAAATTAAGTAAGATACAATGCTAACTGTCTTAATATCAATTGACCTTGCCACCCAGCTCTACAAGTTGAGACATACTGATGCTAATTCAAAGACAGTAGAAACACATGCAGGTAACATCAACAACTGAAGTGCAGTTTTCTAACTTCTTGTAATAAACTAATTCAGAGGTTAGCTTAAATAGAAGAAGATAGCTTACACAGACTATCTCTATGAAAACATAAGATAAAGTAGATCTATTAATTTGCTTATTTCTATGCTCAGACTTTCCTTTAAACACAGATGAGAACATAACATTTGACAAATTTGGTTATGAAATGAGTTGCTAAACCTGGTATTTGTAATGACACACATGGAATAATCTACTGCATATTTAATACCTAGCAAGAGATACCTTTGCAGCAGCTGCCACAGCCTCCTTACTTCTTTTCCTTTCTTCATCCAAACATTTGTCCAGCACTTCCTGTAAATATTGCGAAAAATTCAACTACAATAGAGAAGTGGCTAAAAATAATTAGTCAACTGCTGAATGGGAAAAATCAATTTTCCTGTCAATAATTGTGACAGAATCACTGCCTATGAAATCTATAGTGTGCACTGGAACCATTTTTCTTTTGTAAATAAAAGCAATACCTTATGTTTTTGTGACTGCTGCATCAAAGCTTCTTCTATCTTTTCTGACAAGACTTCCTTCTCTGCTTCTAAAATGTCAAGAAGTCTCTGGTGCTATTGGAAGAAAATATTTATATTATTTTAACAACAGTTTGCAAGAAGAACAGACAAAAACAACTCATTCAAGAGACTTATGGTTGGCTGCTTATAAAGCAACTCAAAATTTAGATTTGTTTAAAGGAAATATACAATGTGTCTTTAACTACCAACAGAAACACAGGATAAGAAGAAATGTTTTACTTCCTGATTATCTGATATTTCCTCTCAATCTGAACTGTACTAGAAAGGAAGTTGAAAAGAACACTATATATAGCAATATTTCTTATAAAATTTATAACAATAATCCAAATAATCACACATTTTAAATAGTTCATTTAAACAACTACATAAATTATATTTGTACTCTCCGTTAAACATACAGTAGAACATGACTGTATTCACTTTTAGCCCCTTGTGATATCATGCACTTTGAAAGCCAGAAAATGACAGCAATGAGAAAATTGCATCAAGTTTTCTTGAAATCTGAAACATTTTTCAGGAAGTGAAAGACTATTGAAATGAAGTCCTGGAGCTGGCAGGGTTCATATAGAGGGCTTTAAACTAGGTACGTAGGGTAAAGGTGTATCTACTCCAAAACACACAGCATTGGCAATAAACAGGAGGAGCTTGAAGCCATCCTGCAGCAGGCAAACTGTGACTTAGTTGCTGTTACTGAAACACAGTGGGACTGCTCCCATGACTGGAGTGCTGCAATGGATGGCTATAAGCTCTTCAGAAGGGACAGGCAAAGAAGAAAAGCTGGTGGCACGGCTCTCTATGTTAGTGTTTTGATGTTTTTGAGCTTGGGGCTGGGAATGATAAGGTTGAGACTATATGGGTAAGGATCAGAGGGAGAGCCAACAAGGCTGACATTCTGGAAGAGGACTATAGAATGCCTAATCAGGATGAAGAGATGGATGAGGCATTCTGTGAGTAGCTGACAGAAGTAGTAAGGTCACTAGCCCTTGTTCTCACAGAGAACTTCCAACTTTCCTGATATATGCTGGAAATGTAATACAGTACAGAAGAAGCAGTCTAGGAGGTTTCTAGAGTGTGCTTGGAAGATAATTTTCTGATGCAGCTGGTAAGAGAGCCTCCCAGGGGAGATGCTCTAGCAGGTCGCAGTCCTGCTCTTCACAAAGGATTGGCGGGAGATGGGGAGATCAAGAGCTGGCTTGGCAGAGCAACCATGAAATGGTAGAGTTCTTGATTCTTGGTGAAGTCAGGAGAGAGGTCAACAAAACTACTACCTTGGACTTCTGGAGGTTAGACTTTAAACTGTTCAGGACACTGGTAGGCAGGGTCCTTTGGGAGTCAGTCCTGAAGGATAAGGGGTTTAGTAAGGCTGGACACCTGTCAAGAAGGAAGTCTTAGAGGAGCAGGAACAGGCTGTCCCCCTGTGCATAAGAAGATCCAGCGGATAAGAAAACTGTGAGGACAAACAGGGAACTACTTCTGAGACTCCAGGAGAAAAAGAGTCTACCTCCTGTGTAAGGCAACTTGAGGAGAGTACAAGGAAGTTGCAAGGATATGTAGGGAGAAAATTAGGCAAAAACCAAACCTGAACTCCATCTGGCTGCTGTAGTAAAAGACAACAAAAAACTTTTTTACAAACATGTTTTTTCTTAACATTAAGTGGAGAGCTAAGAAGAATCTCCAGACTTCACTGGATGCTGTGGGGAATGTGACCACTGAGGATAAGGAAGAGGCTGTATTTCTCATTGCCTTCTTTAAATCTGTCTTTAAATGTCAGACCAGCTATCTTCAGAGTACTTCTATCCTCTGACCTGGAAGCTTGGGATGGGGAGCAGAATATACAAGCAGAATATACACCTCATGATTCAGGTGGAAACAGTCAGAGACCTTTTACTCTATCTGGACTGTCACGAGTTCAAGGGGCCAAATGGGATACACCCAAGGGTTCAGAGGGAGCTGGCAGAGGTGACTGCCAGCCACTTTTCAACACCTATCAACAGTCAACCAGAGTGGTCCAGAGGACTGGAGGCTTGCCAGTGTGACTGTCATATACAAGTATGGTCATAAGAAGGATCTGGAGAACTACAGGCCTATCAGCCTTGGTGTCAGGGAAGGTTATATGACGGATTGTCCTGAGTGAGATTACACAGCATGTGTGATCAGCAGGAGATCAGGCCCAGCCAGCATGTATTCATGAAAGGCAAGTCCTGGTTAGCCAACTGATCTTCTGTGATCAAGTGACCCACCTAATGGATGAAGAAAACGTTGACATAGTCGACCTATACCTTGAGCAAAACCTTTGACACTATCTCCCACAGTATTCTCTTGGGGAAGATGGCAGCCCGGGACTTGCATAAGTACAAACTTTGCAGGGTAAAGAATGAGTTAGAGGTCAGGCCCAATGACTGATGGTGAATGGAGTTAAATGCAGCCAGTGACAGGTCACAAGTGGTGTTCTCCAAGGGTTTGTGTTGGGGCCAGTCCTGTTTAATATCTTTATTGATAATCTGGATGAGGGAACTGAGTGCACCCTCAGTAAATTTGCACCTGAAAACAAGCAGGGAGGAAATGTCCATCTGCATGACGGTAGAAGATCCTTAAGAGGGATCAGGATAAGCTGGATCCATGGGCTGAGGTCCCAGCTGTATGAACTTGAACAAGACCAAGTGCTAGGTCCAACACTTTGGTCACAACAATCCCATGCAACACTACAGGCTTGAAGCAGGGAGACTAGAAGACTGTGTGAAAGAAATGGACCTGGGAGTGTTGGTCATTGCTCAGCTAAACATGAGCCAGTAGCGTCCAGGCAGCCAAGAAGGCCAATGCCATCCTGTCTTATATCAGAAATAGTGTATATATCAGAAATCAGCAGGAGCGGAGAGATGATAATCCTCCTATACTCAGATCCGGTGAGGTTACACCTCAACTACTGTGTTCAGCTTGGGGCCCGTCTCTAGAAGAAAGACAGAGAGGCCCTGGAGTGTGTCCAGAGAAGGACAACGAAGCTGGTCAGGGGTCTGGAGCACAAGATTTACGAGGAGCGGCTGAGGGAACTGGGATTGTTTATTCCGGAAAAGAGAAGGCTCAGGGGAGGACCTTATAGCTCTCTGCAACTACCTGGAAGGAAGCTGTAACGAGGCGGGGGTCAGCCTCTTCTCCTGTATGTCTAGCAATAAAACATAAGGGAATGGCCACAAGTTGCACCAGGGGACATTCACGTCAGATAGTAGGAAAAATTTATTCTCTGAAAGAGTGGTCAGGCACTGGAATGGGCTGTCCACGGTGGTGGTTGAGTCACTATCTGTGAAGGTGTTCAAGAGATGTTTAGACGTTGTACTAAAGGACATAGTTTACTGGGGAAATACTGGTGGTACGTGGATGGGTGTACTTGATGATCTTGGAGATCTTTTCCAACTTTGGTGATTCTATGATTCTAGAGTGACCCAGTAGTCTACATGTGGTTTTATAATTTTTTACAATTTCAAATCATGACCTATTTATCTATTTTTCAATAAACCAAGTCTGCATTAGAAATAGTGTGGACAGCAGGAGCAGGGATCCTGTACTCAGCATCCTCCTGTACTCAGCACTGGTGAGGCCGCACCTTGAATATTATGTTCAGTTTTGGGCTTTTCACTACAAGACATCGAGGCCCTGGAACGTTTTCCAGAGAAGGGCAAAGAAACTGGTGAGGGGTCTGGAGCACAAATCTTATGCGGAGCAGCTGAGGGAGCTGAGATTGTTTAGTCTGGAGAAGAGAAGGATCAAGGGAGACTTCACTGTAACCTACTGAAGTGAGCTGGGATGAGAAGGCGTTTGGCCTCTTCTCCGAGGCAACAAACAGGACCCGAGAAAATGGCCACAAGTTGTGCCAGAGGAGATTTAGATCAGACATAAGGAAAAACTTTTTCTCCCGAAGAGTGATCAGTCACTGGAATGACCTGCCCAGGGAGGTGGTGAAGTCATTGTCCCTGGCAGTGTCCAAGAGGCATCTGGATGAGGAGCTACGAGATATGGCTTAGTAGCTTGTGGTAGCAATGGTAATGGGAGGACTGTTGGACCAGATGATCTTGTAGGTTCTTTCCAACCTTGTGATTCTATGATTCTAAGCATCTGAAATACAGGGGTTTCGTTTGCAAGAACTAAGTTGTTCTCCAAAGCTAAATAATGTAACTGTAGATTATTATTGCTTATTGACAATTATTAGCGAATTGGTATATTTCATTAGATATTGAGTTGATATATTATAACCTTAAAATGAAAGCATAAAAAAGTGCAACATTTTGCACTTTTACACAAATACAGACAAATAGTCCTTTCATCAGCATTTCTAAAAAACTGCAATTGATCTTTCATGAATTTTATTATTGTTTAGTTAGAAGTATCTCTAACAGCAGTTAGAAATACATTTCCAAAATGCAACAGTATTTTTGGAAAAAAAAATTACATTTGTAGAATAGAATAGAAGACTTATAGTTTACTTAATAAAAGAAAATACTTAACAATCTTTCCAGGGTAAACATGTAAAGAGGCATTTCCTTATGAATTTATTGAAAATAGTCTTAATTGAGCAGACATTCTAATGGAAAATACCTGTGGAATTAGCAGTGAAATTCACCTTGCGGTCATACTTAATTATAAATAAGTTAAATTTATTTTTGTGGATTTCATATTTTCAAACACTAAATTTATTATTCAGGGCATTTATGGATTTTTTTTTTTCCTCATCAACTCAAAGTTGAAACAATAGATGAATTTCATTATAGCAAGATGATTTTCATTATTATTGACTGACTGCAAAGATGACAAATCTGTTATTTCACATTTGTTTAAAAGAATGACACAATAGAAAACAAATTTGAATCAGACACATACATTAAATCAGAGTTCACTTATGTAAGTTAAAAGCTTCAAAATTCATTGATATCAGTTAAGAATCATAGAGAAATTCTCTAAGGAGTGGTTATTAAAGAAGATCACTTCTAATTAAAACACTTACAATCAAACTACAGTAAACTCTGTAAGCAAGATTAAAGTTA